TTTCTACCTCCTCTAAGAGCACAATCTTTCATGTTTTAACAACATAACGGTAATTTTCGTCGAGATATTTCTTTACGAGCTTTAAATGATTAAAAAATCAGGAAGATTTATATGTGAAATAAATATTTGAAAAACGTAATTGGTGGCTTTCAATCAGTTAATGCAAGTGTATCATTTTCAATCGGCTTTACACTTGCACTGTTAGAAAGAGAGTCACATGATTGGTGACTCATGGGGGTATCATCAGAAATCTCTCATTAAGGAGGGGTATTTCAGTCAAGCTCACTAAACACAATCTCCTCTCTTTACATCGGGACCGTCGATTAAATTGCCCTCGATCCTTGCCGACACGGTTTGGTACCTTCCACCCACTTGTCACTTCCCCGTTCGTTGACGTGGCGGATAAGGATTATATGATTTATGGGTTGGACATCAAAGAAGAAACGTACCTTTCGGAAGCGAACTTAACTATGAGCTTAAAAGACCGAAATTGCCCTCCTGTTCTTCATCATATTACGAAACTGCAATTGGTTTTGCTTTATAGGGAAACGAATAAATAACGCAATTGGATGGGCTAAGGAACATCATAGTCCATCAGTTTTTACATTTTCTTTTCTTTTTTGGTATTACTCATTCCTTTTTTTTAGAAAAAAAGTTCAAATAGCATATTGTAGGATGCACCTCAAAAAATCCACCGGAAAATGTTGCTTTGATTTGAAAAAACTCTTTAATGGATCATCTCGACTATAAGATATTTAGATATGAAAAAAAATGATTTTTATTCCAAAAAATGTATATATTATAATACGTTACATGAACAGTCTATTTTTAAGGTTTTCAAGCATGTATACACTAGCTTTTTGAGCTTTTGATTTTATAACTAGTAGTAATAATAGATTTTCATACCATCGTTGCGTTAGAGTTCAATAATCTCAACCATGACAATAATCTAAATTTAGAAGTTTAATTTTTCAAAAATATAAATATTATTTTTTGAATTTTTCTTCACCGTTCATTTTAAAATTTAATGGATGTAACATTTGTTGACATCCATTTTAGAGATGGACATTAGATATAGTTAAGGGACCGCACGATAATAATAAGTGGATCGCCTGACTCACCAAAACCATATCCTAATTTCCATGCAACATCTTCAAAATCCTTTTTTTGTTTTAGGAGAATCAGTATTTTAAAAATCTTCGAGTGGGCATACGTAGGTACTTGTCGGGGTGGTCTCAAACCTCTCGAGTTTATTGGGTTCTCACCAACTCTCATAGGTTTTTTACTTTTATTTTTATTACAAAAACATCTTGGAAGGACCTAAGATTTGACTCAAGCAATTCTAATTTGGCTCGTAACTGATAGATCATTGGTTCGACTCGCACTAAATAGAATGAGAAATAAATTATTTACTCTAACAACCAACAAAAATAGAAAAAAGCACAAGAAAAAAGACTACATCTAAGATAATAAAATTATAAAATAAATTTATCAAAATATATGTATAAGATCAATAATTTAATATTAATTTTGACCACCTTGTACAAAAGGTAAGTGGTTTCATTATAAGGTGTGGCTTGTATAAGGTTACAATCTTCAACAATCAAATTAAGACGCATCTCCAAATTTCAACATATATATAATTTTGGTGTAAAAAAATCGTATGATGGCTTGAGAATTTATTTTCATCTCTAAATATAAAATATTGAACTTCTAAAATAGTTCACATGAAGTAGATCTATAAACACTTGACAATCCTAAAAATGGAGGGTCTAGATAATTTATCGAAAGATACACTATTTTTATGACTCATTTTTTTTTCTTTTCATATTTATATATCAATTAGAGGGTTTTCTAACATCAAAACAACCTCTATTATGGATTTTTGAAGTGAACCTAGATTCTATATTTTAAGATTGCAACCTTATGTAAGCTTTTCCCTCATTTTATATTTTTCTAATTCAAAATGTCCATAATAATACACATAATTTCGACTTAAAATATCAATAAAAGGGTAAAAAGTTAAGCACTGAAATACTATTTTGATAAATTTCCTGAATTATAAGAAAGAGAAGAAAAACATAACCAAATAAGGGAATAAACAGGGAAACGTTTTAGTATTGAAAGGGCAGAAACGCAAAGAGCACTGAAGGAAAGGGCATTTATGGGACTGACAGAGGGCCGTTGAGATCAGAACGGACAGAACGGTCAAGATAACTCCCGTGTCGGCATCGACGGCCACACGCTCGCTCCGCGCCAAAAATCATCTTTAATTTACAGGTGCCACGTGGACCCCACATACAGAGCTAATCGAGCCCTGAGCCTATGAAGCTAGTATATTACAAGGGCACCCTTACACTATTTGAACCTACGAAACCCTTCATAAATTAAAAATACCAGAGATGGCCTCAAAGATTATATGTTTTTGCGTGCATGGCCAATAGTACACATGTCAATGGCGATGCGATTGTTAGGGCTGCAGCCCTATCGAAATAAGTAAAGCCTCACCTCATAACTTATTGAAAATTACTATTCAAGTATTGAAAATTACTATTCAAGTATTGAAAAACTTTTACATCGATCATCTCGGCTAGAACATTATGTTTGTGAAAAAAAAATCGATTTAAAACTCTAAAAATAGTGTATATGGCAATAAATTATCTAAGCCTTCCATTTTATCCTAAAAAAAAGTGTTCATAAACATGTAAGATTTGTATCATTTTTTAGTTTCAAGCTTTTATTGCTGGTGTTGAAAATTGATTTTAAAGCTATCATAAAAATTGCAATTGCCGCAAGTGCTTTCCTGATAAAAATTTGAGGTGTTCTTTCATAGAACTTACGCCTTATCGAGTACCCCCCCTCCCTGTCTCCTTTGACTTGAATGTGTATCTCAAAGTGTAGACATCTCTCCATATCACGCATGTCTGTATGTTTGTGTCAAACACCACTCTCTATGCATCTATATGTCACTCTATTTGTTTGTGTCGGACACCTCTATGTCTCTCTCTCTTTCTAAAAGATGTACATCTCTAACTCTGTATCATACTCAATATCTTTCTTTTTTGACGACCCACATTGAATTATTGTTATTTCAATGTAAAATTCCACATCCCATTATATCTAATGATGGAAAGCCAATTTAGAAGTTAGCTTACAATACTTTTATTCATGCCGGAAACTGACACATACTCATATGTTTTATAAGACAAGATTGAATTTATGAAAATTGTCATCCTTTCCCATGCTAATATTCTTTGTATCGTTCTAGTTTTATCGAATTTCTCCAAAGAATCTCTCTCCCTGTCTGTCTCCAATGGGGCCCTAAACTATCTTCCTCTCGGATTAGTATAATACTCTTTTTCTCCCTCATTGGGTCAATTTTATAGTTATTGTCTTATCTTATAAGTATATAAGTATCCGTGATAGTATCAGACACAAATACAAGAATTACAAGCTAAATTCAAAATTGGTTTTCTTAATCATTTCTTACATGTATAATGGGATGTGGAATTTTACATTAAATAGATAATATTTCAATATTGAAAGTTGCTAACAAATGTATAACTTTTTAAATGACAAGCACATGTCAACCCATGATTGATGACACTCATTTGCATGTTCACATGATGGAGCCCAAGTGTGACATTCTTAAAAGGATGAAGTTTCTATAAGGCCTAAGTTTTATGAAAACAAAATAACGCTTTAACTCAAATCTTTGTCTAAAAAGCACTCTGGGCAACAAAAATCTCTACAATGGATCTAAACCAATTTCTAATACTGACAATAAATGTTGAAACTAAAAAGAGGGCATTGATCTTGTGGATCTATGAACACTTATATTTAGGGTGAAATAGAATATCTACTTAATTTATTATTACAATATATATATATATATATATAAATTGTTAGATCTTAAAATCCATTTTTTTTTTTTTTTTTAAGACTAGTGTTTTCAAGCTAAGAAGATTGATGTAAAGGTTTTCCAATATTTGAATTATAATTTCGATAAATTATGAGGTGAGGCTGAGATGATCAAACCATTTTCCTTCTTAAAATTGAGCGTTTGGGATGGTGTTCAAGAGTTCAACCAAGAAGAATTTTTTTTCTCTCACATATTTTTGTTCTCTCTAAATGTTGTATCTCCTAAATCTTTCATATTGCTCCTCAAATGAAAAAGTTGTATCTCTTAAATCTTTCATATTGCTCCTCAAATGAAAAAGTTGGCTAAGCTTGCCCAAAACAAAATCATTTTTAGATATGCTAAGTTCTTCATAAATTTCAGGTAAGGCTTGTATTGCTAAAGCCACTTTTGCAAAAGAAATTTATTTATTTTCCTCCATCTCTTTTTTGGATCAATATCCAAATAAGGAGTCAACTATAAAAATTGTTGGATTGCTGGCTAAAATTGTAACAACTTTAACTTCAAATTAATTATGGGTGTACATATTGTGTTTATGTGGAAGCGTATTTGTCAATCTACTTTTAAAACCACCTTGGGAGAAACTTTTTGAATATAAAATGTTTTGAACTACCTAAACACCAGAATATTATTTCCAAAAGAGAAATTTAAATTTTAAGCTTTCTGATACTTAGATCTGGCTTGGAAAAATTAAACGGTCCCCATTCAATCTTGAGACATTATTTGTTTCAAGTACACAGAGAGTTCTATTCGGAAATTTTTACCTGTTTTGAAAAGGTTACATCTCCAACATTTAAGATTTTAAAGTTACATCTAAATTGAATTTTACTGAAGGGAGTAAATAAATAGTATGCTCCTATGGGAGTATAAAACGTTTGGCACTAATCATTGATCGCATTGCCAAAGGACCAGCTCAATAATACCAACTAAAAAGAAGTAAGGGTAAAATAGTCATTAGAGCGGTAGGACGTAGGGTGTTTTAGTCATTTCCTTCTTTGTCGGCCTTTGATCCACAAATTCTTTACAACTGTTTAGACACAGATATTTTTTCCTTTCAACTGCCTTTCCTGTCAGCTTCAGGGATTCTAACAGTTCAATCTTTTATTAATTTTTTAAGGTTTTGATTTTTTTATTTATATGGTTGTATTGCGGCACTGCTTTTCTAAAGATTCTAAGCCTCGGATGTCTCGTTCCTTCTCTGATTGCAGACACTGTTTCTGAATTTGTTTGAATTATTTATAATGGGTTTCAGTTTTGGAAGTGCCTGCATTGTGGCATTCATGGTGTCTTTCTCTCTCTAGAGGGGGTTCTTCAGTGTTTCAGTGACCTAAGACTGGAATTTGTGGCCTCTCTGACCTTTAGTGTGGGTTCCTCAGTGGGTTTTTGACCCAGATCCAGAGCTTGTCTCTATTGGGAGTTTCTCAGTGTTTCAGTGACTGAAACCCAGATTTTATTCTCTCTTAAACAGTGCTTTAGATTTCCTTGAAGTGGGTTTTAGAACCAGATCTTGAAATTCCCGCCATTAAGTGGTTCTGAAACAAAGGAGAGAGAGAGAGAACCAGATCTTGAAATTCCTGCCATTAAGTGGTTCTGAAACAAAGGAGAGAGAGAGACAGAGAGAGAGAGAGGTGGAGGGTAACTGTTCCCCAAAGAAGAGAGAAACTAGTTGCCCAAGTTCGACAGAGAGAGCAAAGGAAGCACTTTTGGAAGATCTGCCATGGATTTCAGTTCATTCATCACCTCTCTCTTGACTTCTTTCCTTATTTTTGTGGTTTTGATACTGATTTTCACATGGCTCTCAAGGAAACCTGCAAATGATGTGATATATTACCCCAATAGAATCTTGAAGGGTTTGGATCCAATGAATGGACATAGAACCAGGAACCCTTTTTCATGGATCAAGGAAGCTATCAGTTCTTCAGAAGAGAATATAATAGACATGGCTGGTGTTGACACTGCTGTGTATTTTGTCTTCTTGAGAACAGGTATTTTTCTAAAATTTGTATCTTTTTGGTAATACAGTATGTAAATGTTCACTAGATCTATTGTTTTAATATTTTTTTTGTCAGCTAATTCTCTTTTTCTTACAGAAAATTTGATTTAAGGTAATGGGTTCTCTCAAGAGATAATGTTACCAAATGATTATTTGCTTTTCTATTTGTGGCTAAGAGATAATTTTTTCTTTTAGTTTTTTGGATACCGATTTTTTTTTTTAGTTAAAATATAGTCCCTTAGCCATAATTTATCTTGGTTTCTTTGTCTTTGTGTTATCTGTGTTTTGTTTGTATGTTAAAGTTTTGTTCAGTGAAAATGATGGGTTTTATATGCACTTCTTTGTTGTATTGAAGTGGTAACGCTTTCCTATTTTTCTAGTGTTGTTCTAAAGTAGTCTATAATATCTGATGGGTATAAGAGTCACTGTTCCTAATATTTCGTGCCTTAATTATTTATATAGGATTATATGTTCTTGTGCTGAAATTATTTTTATATGAAGATGTAGACTCTCTCTATCTCTGTTTTTTTTTTCTTTTTGGTAGTGTAGTTTTGCATTCATTTTTTGTTAGTTTGTTTCTTGTTGGTTTTTTTTTTGGGTGGGGGGGCAGGGGTTTAATGGAATTTTCCAGTTCATTTAAATGGGGGGTTTCTATTTATTGCTGATTTATCTAATTACTGGTGTTTTAAGTCTTAGAAGATGTCAACTTTTTTTTCTATTTTGATTGCTTTGTTTTCTAGTTTTGCTTTTTCTCTGTAAGTGTAAATTGGCTATCTACATTTATAAAGTCCTGAAAATGGTGCGAATTTCTTTTTGTCCAGTTACTAGTGTTTTAAGTCCATGTGGATATGAACTTATATATTTTGGATCAAAATAGTAAAAAAAGCAGAAAAAGTACAAAGCAACTAAAAGCAAAAGTACAAAGCAAATAAAAGCAAAAGTACAAGGCAAAGCAATCAAAACTTTTCGTTTCTAGCTTCCCCCCCCCCCCTAAGAAAAAAGAAAAGAAAACCAAAAATCCTGAAAATGGTGGGAATTTATCTCCCTTTGGTTGTTTTAGATTATCTCAATGTTGCGGGTGTTTACTTTTTAATCCTCTGCAAATAAGTATGTGTACTTCACTACTGTCCATTCATGTTCTGCTTTTGAACTTCACTACCTACCTTGTAATAACTTCCTCTTGTATACAATCCATTTTTGTATAATTGTCTTGCATTCTTAATTTTTATTGAGTAAAAACTACCTACCTTGTAATCACTTTCCTCTTCTATACAATCCATGTTTACATAATTGTTTTGCATTCTTAATTTTTATTGAGTAAAAACTAATGAACAAAACGAAGAAACGGTGTATATTATTAAATTATGAGATTGCATATATTAAATTATGAGATGGGCTTCTTTTCATAAAAGCAACAGCCTGTGTACGTTTATGACTGGACTTGCATCTGCAATTATCAGAATATTCATCCTCTGCTATTGCATTTTCTTTGTTGGTTGTAAAAAATCAATGATGTGAATTATTCTCTAATATTCTCATTTTTTATTCTTTTTAACTCCATGAAGCAGTGTTTTTTCAGTGGTCTCTGCGAATTCTCCCCTGGTTATTCTCACTACTCTAAATTTTGTTTCTTGTTCTTTTTTTTTGTCTTTTTTTTTTAATTTCAGTGTTGGGAATACTGGTAATATCCGGGATCTTGCTCCTACCGATTCTTCTTCCAGTTGCTGTTACTGATATAAACACCACCTTGACCAAAGAGACTAATAGCAATGGAACCTTCAATAACCTCGACAAGCTGGCAATCGGAAATGTACAAGTAAGATATCACAAATTTGTTCTTTCTTTTTCATGCAGATTTTCTCTTGCCATCCCCTCCCTTCAAGAAAAAAAAGGAGTTACAAGTTTCATACCCGTAATCTCCCAATAAAATGACTCAGTTATATTCAAGGAAAGCCAAGTAATTACTATAGAAGAGTCTTCATATCTTCAGTCCCCGGCTATTCCATAGATGTGGCGGCTAATCTTTTAGCGAATTAACAGCTAGTCGTTTTGGGTTATCCTGTTATGTCTAGGTTTCTTTCCTTTTCAATGATAGATTTCCTGCCATGGGGACTGTTCCTGAGAACGGGAAAATCAGCTGAAGACCACAAATATTGTTGTCTTAAGATCGTATTTCACTCTCTCCTGGACTAGTTCTAATTCCTTAATGGATTGGTTTATATTAGTCTATAATTCCTGGGTTGTTAATGAGAACAGGTAAACAACTCATCAACAATAGGCATAGAAGTTTTAGGAATAAAATCTCTCTCTCTCTCACTACTCATGCACGCGTGCGTATACACACACACACTTAAAACTCTGTCAATATTTGAATATGTGCTCTTTTCTTCCTGATAATTAATTTATGCTTTGTTGTAAAACGGCTTGGTTCCACTTCTTACTTCTTGAGCTCTCCTTTACAGAATAAGAGTCCAAGGTTATGGGCATTCCTGCTAGCAACTTACTGGGTTTCTTTCATCACTTTTTTTATGTTATGGAAAGCTTACAAGCATGTCTTAGAGCTCAGATCCTCTGCCCAATCTCGCTCAGATGTTGCTAGGCCAGAGCAATTCACAGTTCTTGTGAGAGATATTCCTCCCGTTCCTCATGGCCAAAGCAGAAAAGAACAGGTCGATGCTTATTTCAAAAGATTACATCCTGAAACATTTCACAAATCCCTAGTCATCACTGATAATAAAGAGGTGCAGAACTCATAATCCCTTTTTCTTTCTGTTATCAATGCTTATTCAAAATATTCCTCTCTCTCTCTCTCTCTCTCT